ACACCTACACACCTACACACACGCACACGCACGCACACACACCCACACGCACACACACATGCACGCACACAGAATGTGGCCCCCATTCAACACTTAAACAAATATAAATCATATGCCTTCTTCACAGAGAATTCCTGCGACCCCCAATCGTTCCTGCCGCTTTGCTCCCACACAAGTCAGGAGGAATGCATCCAGGTCCACAAACCTCCTATAATCTTGATGAATCATGCAAACATAAGGTTCAGCCATGTTTAGCTTACAATACATTTGCCATGGTGCATACCTTTTACCTGTTTTAATGTTTTTATCAGAGAAACACACAATATACAATATTATAGGTAATATTATTGCCTAATATCTCATGTATTTCTATTTATAAATATGGTTTTATTCTGAGAAATCATCAACAAAAATGTGGTTGTTTCTCCTTTAAAGCCAGAACTATCCAGACTCATAAAATGCTCTCTCACAGCAGTCAGGCCAACAAACAAATGCATTCAAATTCAACCGACCCAAGAATAGAAACAAAGCACACCTATAAAAAAATAAATGATGAAACTCTCACAGAAACGTAGCTGGAAGGAAACACGTTGACCTGATAAAGCTCTGTATTAAAATGCAACACATAAATATTTGATTATTTTGAAAATGGATGTGCAAACAAGTAAGGAACTGAAAAAATTTACATTTCTTAAAAATAGAATTTGGAACGCATTTTGTTATTTTTTTATGCTCATTGTTCAAAAATAGAAAGCAAAGCAAATCCCATCTATTTTGTAAGAATTTTGATCACATGATTTACTGTGGTGTTGATGTAGCTCCTCACCAGGGTAAGAATTAATTTGCGTCCGATTATGCAATTCAGTTCAGTTCAAAACAATTCAGTTCAGTTCAGTTCAGTTCACTTCGAATGAGTTCAGTTACACAACTGAACTCATTCGAAGTGAATTTTATTCACTTCGACCTATATAATTTTCATCTCAACAGACTTTGTAAGAAAAACAACACAATTTCTTCTCCTCCTATCAGCAGTTCACTTCGGTCCATATTCATTCATTTTAATCCCAATCACTTCAACAGAATCATATCCAATGTGTTCAAATATCGGTTCAGGTCCAGTTACATAGAGTCCAATTGATAAAATTACAGTATGGTGCAGTTTGAGTGGATGATCCATACCTGGTCTTGTAAAACAAAAAGCATTGCCTTCCTGACTTTTGCTATCTAAAGATTAATGTCAAATTTAAGAACGGTTATAATTTACCTGGATTTTATGTTTCTGGGGGGAAAATGTGGCTCCTGAACTTTGAAGTGAAGGCACCGGGTGGATCGGGGGCTTTCTGTGATGCTGTGAACGTCTCCTCACGTTTGTAGAAATGTAGATCAGATATTGCTCTGACCTATCAAACGCCTGCAATAAAACATTTCTGCTGTGCACCAGGCCACTTTTTCACAGAACAGGAAGTCTGCCCTCAGCATTTGAAGGATTGTGTGCTATGCTTTTTCTCAGCCTGGTGTTGCACCTATGAGGTTCTGCTCTGACTGCATATCGGCACCATGAGCATCCGTTGAAGAGGACATCTACTGAATTAATAAAGGTGCATCCATCCATCCAGAGGAGCGGTGGTTGGCAGAGCTGCAGTATAATGATCTACTGTTCTGACAGCGCAAAAAAAAAAAAACCCGGGTTAAACGTCTCCAATTTTTCATGAGGTTTCTGCTTTGCTGTACATGCAGATAAATTAAGCAAATTAATGCTGGTAAATGGGTGAATATTTATTTATTTAGTTATGCCTAATAGAAAGTTTTTCCACTTGCATCATTATTTCATCTAAACATTTTTTGTGAATATTAATTATTTTTCCCAAATTTTTACGAAAATATTTATTTTTAAACGTAGCTAATTCATGTTTCTCTTTTTCTTTTATTTCCAGATTTTTCTATATTGCTTTTGTACTGTTAAGTCCACTTTAGAGTCAGCTGATACACAACCCCTGTTTGTCCAACCTTTTGATTTAAAAGCTTCCTAAATAACCCAACAACTGTTTGGTGTTACATATTTAAATGTTTTGTTATATAGAAACATAAAATATAAGGTTTATTAGGATGTTTCATATTGTTGCTGTATAAACACCAAGAAAACTGTATTGTTGCCATTATGATTCATGCTCAGAGGTGAGCAACTTGTTACTCGTGAATTTGAATACATATTTGAAAAATAATAATAATAAAATTACTTCTATGAGTAGTTTTTACTTTTGCGTGAGTAATTTTATTTTGAAGTAAAGCTATTGTTGCTTGAGTAAAATTCTGGCCATTGCCCAGTAATAATTTAAAGAATGAAAAGAGAATCCAAAAATGCACCAGACATGACACTTTATGTTAAATTAATACTTCTTGTTTGTGCACAAATGTAATTGTTTTATTGATATTTTCTGTGCTGATCCTGCTGTGTCTTACTGAGTTCAATAGACAAAATATCAATATTGTCACTGGATGCACTTTTCTCTGTTGTAACTTATACATTTCATGCTGTAAGTATTGGGTTCAAATACATACAGTATTTGAATCCAATATTTAATGTTTCACAACTTTAAATCTTTTATGTTGTGAAAAAAATAAGTTGGAAAAATGTTTCTTCTGCCATAATTTATTGTTTTAAAATTACGTAATGTATTTGTGTTAATTTTTAAAAGATATTTGTCTTTAAAATATCAAACTTCACACTTCCTATTATATTGTTTTCTCTCTGATTACAAAGTTTTCACAAATTTATTCAGATGTTTAGATCAGTGACTCTGTCCTTGAGAAATATTTTGTCCAAGTAGTTTCAAACTTTTACTTGAATATTTGTTTTGGACTGATACCTTTTACTGTAACTTGATTTAAATTTGCTGAAGTGACGCTATACTCACTTGACTACAACTTTTGGCTCCTCTGCCCAGCTCTGCCCATTCTCTCTTCTCATTGAAACATTTTGTAACTGGTGTAATTTACAGCAAAACAGGCTCAACGGCCAGAGGTTAACAGAACCTGCAGGGGTTCAGAAATAAATCTGGCAGTGCCCTGCAGAAAAACAACACTTTGCCTGAGGCTCCACACGTATGTGCATCAACAGCACCAGCCAGAGGTTGTGCAATGGCACTGATACACCCCAACTGTACCAGTCTGGTGAAAATATTCGCTTTTTTCAAACTCGCTTTGACCTAAAGGATGAACAAACAGGATGGACGGCAGGTTGATCTCAACGTTTTCATTTATTCTGGGGTATTTTATTTAAATCTGTGTACATACTTTTAAGAAACTTGTTATTTTGGGTATAATAATAATTTGCTTTTATTGAACTGTTTTGGTAAACTTGTGCTGTTTTATAAGTTAGATTTAAGGTGAGTCGAATGGTTTAGTTGCTGGTTTATCCGGTGATCAACAATGTTGTGTTCATTTAATATGTATGATTATCTTAATTTACTTAATTGTTTTTTGTTTTTTTAATAACGTTAAATAATTGGAAAACCAACCCCCAAAAAAGCGAGTAAGTACGTGGAACAAAAACAGACAAATCTGAATAGTTTGCTTTTTACACCGCAGCTTGGAATAAAATCAAGAGGAAGGCGAATAAAGAGAAGCTGCGTGTTTGGAGGCGTCCTGCGGACACCGCAGACTGAGACGAACAGGGTCAGAGCGCAACCGAGAGGAGTCAACTATTTCATTATTTTGTTATTGGGGACCGAAAAAGAACATCCAAACCGCATATTTTAACAAACCTTTTACTTTCTCATACTTATTTTGTGTCTCTGTCGCGTTTTATTGTGTGAATTTGGTTTTTCCGCATATAAATAAAAAAAAATGTCACTCTGTATTACGGGTCAGAAGGTTAACTAAGATTTCTTACATGTAATAATAATAATAATAATAATAATAATAATAATAATAATAATAATAATAATAATAATAATAATAAAAGAATACATAATTATAATAATTTATATATTATATCAGGCGTTGTCTTAACTTGTCTGCTGTTGTTTAATCAACACTTTAAATTATTTAATTGAAAGACATTTTACCTAACAACAGGAGGTTGTTAGGTAAAACAACCTCCTGTTTGTTTTACAGGGTTTTTCTACTGCTTTACCTTAAAAGAAGTCAAATAAGAAATACTTAAGTTATCTTAAACCTATAAAAAAAGTATTTGGTAAACCCAAATCGTTCTGAAATGGCGCAGTGATGTATTATTAGCTGTAAATATTCGACAGGAGTAAGTTGACCGGAGCCGTTGATATATAATCAAAAGATGGTCATTGATGAAATAAGTCAAATAAATCAGAACAAAATTTAAATTCGGTGCCTAAATGGCTGATATTAGTTGTTGGACTAAATTGTTATGAGTTCTTTTATCTCAGTCCGGTTTAGTCTGTAAATCATCCTGGTGTGACGTATCACCAGCGAGTCTTTAATTTTTTTTATCATTGATAAAAAAAATATATAGCCAGAACCCTGACACCATGAGAGTCGTCTTGAGCAAATCAGAAATCTTAAACTCACACCACTTATTTAGATATTTTTCAAATACATATGGCCTATTTTAGTCTAAGTCTACTGAAGGGAAAGATCTTTCAGCCAATGATGCACAAACTCGCTGCTTCAGCTGAAATATTAAACTTATTAAGAAGAATCTAAACAGACAAATGAAACATTTCCTCATGAACGTCATGTGTTGGAGTAAATGCATTCATTTTTATCAATCACAGGCCACCTCGCCTCATTTTTGATTCAGCAGATTCTGCCGCGTGAGTAAACGCTGGCTGACGGGCGCGCGGTTGTGCGCATGTGCCAGCAGGCCTACTTAGCAGGCCTATTGACATTAAAGACAAGTGGGTTATACAGAGCCTGGAAATGGGGCCCGATGAGGGGGGCAAGTCCGCCAGTGGTTCATGGAGCCGAGAGCCAGCCCCGCAACCTCTCTCTCTCTCTCTCTCTCTCTCCCTCTCTCTCTCTCTCTCTCTCTCATGTAGCCAGGCGGACTCTACAGTCAGTCAGTCTCAGAGGGGTGACCCAGGATCTGCCCAGCCTTCTCCCTCCTGGCTGACAGCTGACAGCTGACTGACGGAGATGAGCCGTAGAGGAGAACAGGAGGAAGAGTCGAAGTGTGTTTTCCTGTGAAAAGGGGAGGAAAGGGTCTGTGGTATTGCTTCGCGGAGAGGAGAAGACGAAGAAGAACGATGTCCTAACTAGGGGAGCTGTTTCAGCAGCAGAGAGCGGCCTGCAGGCCCGGTGAGTGTTGCAGGAATACCGAGTGTGAGCGGGGGGGTATTCCCTGCTGGGAATATTATCCAGGATGCAAACATTTGCACGGAGGGGATATTAAACTTCACGTTCCCTCTGCAGCATCTCTCGGGCCTCTTCGTGTGTGTGCGTGTGTGAGTGCGTGTGCGTGTTTGTTTTCGCGCCGGAGTGCGCGACAGTGAGCAGGACTATGAGTCTGGTGTCAGGCTACCCTCACCACCCGATCATGCACCACCACGACAGCCACCACTATTCGCTGCACGCGGCGGCGGCCGGACGGTGCCACGAGGACACCGGGGCGCCTCCGTACTTCACGAGCTGGCTGATCAGCCACGCGGACATGTCGCCCACAGAGTACAGCCTCGCGCCGGGCTACAGCCCGGAGTACCACACCAACAGCGGGGGCGACTCCTCCGGCGGCCTGGACGCGCGCCACCACCACCACTACGGACCCGGGAACCATCTGATCCCTGGGCCCGGCACCATCTCTATGAACGGAGCCACGGTCGGCATGCATCACCACCACCACCACCACGCACACCCACGCACCATAAAGCGGAGACCCACCGCAAATCGCAAGGAGAGGCGACGGACCCAAAGCATCAATTCGGCCTTCGCGGAGCTCAGGGAGTGCATCCCCAACGTCCCGGCCGACACCAAGCTGTCCAAGATCAAGACTCTGCGGCTGGCCACCAGCTACATCTCCTATCTGATGGACATCCTGGACAAGGACGGCCAGCACGGAGACACGCAGGCGTTTAAAGCCGAGCTGAAAAAGACGGAGGCACGGGAGGAACGCAGGAAAAGAGAGGCGGTAAGGCATCCGCAGGGTCACCGTTAACACACATTAAACACACTGCTTTCATGTCACGACGAAAACACACACAGTCTGAGACTTCAGGTTGCCTAATGTCGCCATTGGTAATACCATCAGAAAACATAAGGTGACTAAATGCACCACTAGAAGGAAATAACGTGAAGAAATAAAGAGAGTAAACTGGTATGTCTGCTGAAAGCGCCGAGGAGTAGGCCTGCAGAAGCAGGTCGGCTCTGCGCGTCCCGCTGCTCCGTGCAGTGATTTATTCTCCAGACACGAGTCATGACCTGAATTCACAGCCAGTCTCTGCGCAGAGAAGATGTTAGATAGTTGTTTTACACGGTTCCACGCTCATTTGGCCCCGTTAGTCGTGTCGTGAATGTTTTATCTCAACAAGATTGATGACTTAAGTTCGCAGTGGAAAATCCTTTAAAAGTCCTCTCCTCTGCAGAGCTGCAGGAGGAGAGGAGAAACGCCAGGCAGAGGCGCTGCTTAAAAGCCTACAATTTGGCAAATTCTTGCAACAAAGATAGAGAAAGACAGACCGCAACCTACGCAATACAAAACAAACACAAGAAAGCGAAATTTGTGTGGACCAACTATACAGGCGCACCGGAAATAAATAAATACAACGATCTAGATTACATTACCTGCGTGTAAAATGGTAATAGTTTACGATAACCAACCAGTTGAAATAATAATTAACACCTTAAAATATGTAATCTGTAAATCAATTTTAAATACAAATGCAACTTTTATCAACGTTCACAGAAACACTCTATTAATTCAGCCTACCAGCTGAGTTTGATTATCAAAATAGTTTGCATGACTGAAACACTCATTCACTTCATTTTGCAGCGTTTCAGTCTTAAGCACGTCAAGCGCAAACAGGAGCGAAGGAAATCCCTATAAGCGCAACTATAGAAGGTCAGTTATTGGCGCGTTTATGTGCGGTAGGAATTTAAATCGCCGGTAAGGAGAGAGTAAACAGTGGGAGGAAAGCCTGTGTTTGCATGTGTCTTCAGATGTGCGCTGTGCTCGATCAGCATGGATTACTTTACTGATAATTTCATCAAGAAAGGAAACAGAACAGGACCATCAATGACAACAGAAATGGCTGTTACATTACTTATTCATACTTTTATTATGCCGTGAAAACAGAACCCAAATTTTGATATGTAGCCATTATTTAGAGACTCCTAACTGGCGTTAAGTACAAAACTATACAAATAAATTGTACTTTTACGAAGCATACGCAGAATTTAATATTTAAAAAAATATATAGTGAAAAAAAATATAGAATAAATTTTAGAACAGGAGCACTTCCGCCATGTAGCTGCAAAACATCAACAACAAAAAACCTTTAGATCTCTCCACCAATATTAAGATAAATGAAACTAGCAAATAACATAAAATAAAGAATGTGTAATATAATCTTGAATAAATTGTATACCACAATTACGTGGAAATATTATTACTATTATGCAATATGTTTATGTATTACATTTATGCACGAATCTGGAAAATGATCCAATGAATTCACAAAATTAAAATAAAAAGTAACTTCATAAAATACAAGTAAAGCTTAGAACAAACGAACAAAAATATTCTGTAGTATTATACAAAAATATTCTGTAGTATTATACAGAATAAATAAAATACAAATATGTAAAAGCATTAAAGTAGCAAAAAAGCAATAAAAACATATGTATAAATCTATATTCTTACGTTATGTTGCTAAACACAGGGAATATATAAATACAATAGAATAACTCTGAAAATTGACACAGAAACTCCCGCAGTTTGCCATGTAAATAAAATACAGCTCAAAAACGGATGAGTTTAATAAAATAAAATAAAGCCCACATATTTTTACTCCCTGTAAGAAAGAAAAATGTGGAGCTGTATGGTATGTATTAAGCCTGAACGCGGTGGTGGTGGGGGGTGAATCGGTGGCCTTTCTCAGACTTCATGGAGCCAACGGAGGCCAGCTTCAGCCATTATGACCCGCTTTTATTATAGCAGCATTTCTGATGGAGTCATACTTCCAGCGGCTGCATCGTCTTCACAGGGAGTTTCACTGTTTCTTTCCATGCAGCTCTGCTGACAAGAAAATGAGTTTGGCACTTTGAGACGCATGCCTGTGCACGGCGTCGATCTGCGTGTTGCCAGTAGCCGCTAATATAATTCATACGTTTTAAATCAGTCCTCTGTGATCGCTGACCAAACTTCAGAACGATGTTTTTATTTACGAGACGCAGCGAAGCATCATGACACCAACTCTGCCGGCTTTATCTGAGGAGGAATGCATCAGCTGCAGCACACCTTCCCTCAGCCCACAATGCTTCAGAGCTGTGCAGCAGAGACATTATGCGTCCAAACAAACAAAACAGGCCAGAGCAGAATAATTATTTCCTGTTTGATGTGTATAGGAAGTGTGGTGCGTAATGGAAGCCAGGACGCATTTCTGCCTTCCAGTTGGAGCTGCATTCACTGCAGGAGGCTGGAGGTTGGATTACAATTGATTCACGTCTTCTTCAGATTGCATACTATCTTCCTAAAACACACGCATGAAAAAACCAAGCTGCAGTGTTGTTGTTGCTCAGAAACCAAGGATAAATTATTATTAGGAATGATCACACAATTCGTTGCACTTAAGCCGCCTTTTTCTGTCAACAAGTGGGAGTTCAAATTAGGTCTAACGGTTTGGATGTATTTAAAAAATAAATAAATAAATATATGCATCTATTTTGATGACGCATTTCTTCACTTGTCTCTAAACATAAAAGCATCGTTTCAGCAGTGGGCATTTATCGCATCATTTATCGTGATAAATTTCTTGTCAAGACAAGAATTTTGATTTACCGTTGTCGTAATAAATTCCAGTTGATGTAAAAATTGGACAGTTTTTAACAATTTTAACAATTTTCTTCACTGTTTATTCAAAGAAAATATCAATATATTTGAAAATATGATTAAATGCGGTTTCTGTGTGCAGTTTAGTGGGGCTATCATTGCTGTGCCAGGCGGGAAAAAAAGAAGTAATAAATAATTATTATCATCACGTTTATCGTTATCATAATATATCACAAAGTATCGTGATAAAACTTTAAGTCCATATCGCCTACTCCTATTAGGAACTGGATGATAATACACTCCAGAGGCTTTCGGTTTCAAAATTTGTCCCTATTTTTTTTTTATTCTGGTAATGCGTTTACAGTTCATCAAAAAAAAAAAAACTAAACTAAATGGAACATCGAACCTATGACAAAAAAAACAACATTAGGCCTAATTGCGCTTGACAAGATGAATTCACAAGGTTATTTTTAATCCTCCTGGGTATATGTGTAGCTTTAATCTGATGTGCCAGTCGAAATGTGGCTGTGGTTTCAGAGTTAGGGATGTAAACAAGGCCTGGACAGCAGTCACACCTCCCTGTTAAATATGGATTTATTTAACCGGGACTGAGTTACTGAGTTACTGAAGATATGACGTGATTTATTAAAAAGCTATTTATGCTACTACTATTTATTTTTTATCGTATTATATTGAGAGAAAAAAATATTCAGCTTTAGTTTTCTGAAGAACATTCTTTGCAGAGAGTAACAAAATCTAAGGAGTACGGAAGGAGTTTTCGTATTCAGATGGACAAAATTCCGCGTCCTGTGGATACAAACTAACAATAACATGAGACCGTAGCAAAACTAATTTTGTTATTTTATAAATCGTTTTGATAACTGTGCATCTACCATCTCTACCTTATATATATAGATATAGATATATAGGAATAGATATAGATATTTACGCATATAGTGAGAGCGGTGTTGCTCAATTTTATATTTTAAAAAGGGATGGGTGCGGGGGACAAGGATGATTTTTGTGTCTTGGATCATTTTGGTTGATTTAATGAATGTTAGGAAGACTGATTTTAAATCACGCATAAACACAAACACACACTCACGCTCCGCTTTGAATTAAGCTATTGGCCGGCTGACGTTTTCTTCGAATGGAACATTTTTGAGAGTCTATCCACATCTGGTGTGTTTGCCCTAGAACCTATTAAACGTTTCCTCGCAGCATGATGCTAAATTACATTAAATAACGTTTATTAAAAAAAGCCCCGCTGGATTTCATGTTGTTAAAAAAAGTCCAGATTGGAAAGAAACTCGGTGTACTTGTTGTCAGCATGCTGATTATTATTCACCCTACCTCCCTGCGCAGCAGGCTGGATCTGCGGCATTCCCGTGCAGGGATTTATCCGAGCTGGGATGGAACTGATGTGTCGTTTTCTGCTCTACAATGAAGAGTCTGGTTGATGTCTGGTGGATTTAGTGGGTGTAGCTACTGTACCGACCAGAAGTTTACCGCTCCAAGGGTGGGGGACGTTGCTTAGGGGTTGTAGTGGGGGTTCAATCTAGGCTACACGTACTGAAAGGCGGTTCTGGACTGGGAATGCATCCATATTCCATATTATCATCACCTATAAATAGCATATCTAACGCCATCCATCCATCCATCCATCCATCCATCCATCCATCCGTTCAGTGCCAGCTTTGCAAAACGCCCTGCAGTCACATCGATAGCCTATACGTTTGTGGATTAAGTTTTGTGTCGCTATCAGTTAACATATATTTTATAAAAGTTTACCAACATTTTTCTCCTGACTGGATCGGGAGCCAAAGATTAAGGTGATGGTCAAGAGTCTTTCCGCTAATCACTAATAGTAAATCAATAAAACGGGTTTGATTATGCGTCAAACAGCGTTGTTGGCCTTTGGTTCACTGGTTGTGAGAGAGGGGGAAAACATGCGGCCAAGGTCAACGGGCTGGACTGGAACCCGGGACAGCCGGGCTGAAAATCTATGGGTCACTGGTCACGCGCTTTACTCCCTGGGCCTCCACTTGCCCTCTTTTTATTTATTTATTTATTTATTTATTTATTTATTTATTTATTTATTTATTTATTTATTAACTAATTAACTAATTAATTAATTAAAAAATAAAGATCAGCTGGGACTACAGGTGGAAATTACCTGGTACAAGCAAACCTAAAATCAATCAATCAATATGAGGCTTATTTATATGATACATTATCCCTGTTTTAAATAAATGGATAAATTGATTCCATTCCATGACATGTCGTGTTTTACTAAACTGTATAAAAATATTTTCTTTGTAAAATCTAACACTTATTTTATGCTATTTTATTTAAGATATGCATGTCTCATTTCCTACAATGAAAACAGAGAATAAAGCTTCAACTTCAGAATAAACTTAAATTAATCAAATTAATTTTGAATAACACAACAACTTTAGCTTAAATTATTACTTGGATAAACTTAATTTGATTAGTTTTAACAAATTAACTTTTTTTAAAAGTTGGATCCCTGTTTTTATTTTTCAGCGTATCAGGAAAAATAAAAAAAAAAATAACTTGGTTATATAAAAATAATTTATTCTGTCAGGGATATGAATAATTTCAATCTTAGCTGAATTAAATTGTCTAGATTACTATCAGTGTAATTCGGTTTTAAGTCACACAAATGTCCTATTACTACAATTACTATTTAAAAAATAAAATTAAAATAAATAATAACGTGAAATGTCTGCAGGTGGAGATCCCTAAAGCTGCCTCCTCGTCTTCGTCCTCCTCATCGGTAGGAGATAAGAAGAGCAAAGGTCGGACTGGATGGCCTCAGCATGTCTGGGCTCTGGAACTCAAACAGTAGTGACCCCTCCACTCCCACTCCCGCTCCTAAATTTGACCCCCGGGTTTTTGATGGACAGTGCGTGCCTCTGCACTCTCGGGCTCCCCACAGCGACGGGGCCGGATGGACGCTGCAGACGGTCGTCCTGCTGCTTGGCCACAGTCTCGGTTGGACCCCAGGAAGAAGAAGAAGAAGGAGAAGAAGAAGAAGGAGAAGTGACGTGTCCCCAGGAAGGAGTCTGGGTGTGGGCCGAGGTCCATCTAGACAGGCACAGACGGAGTTATGTCCCCTGTCACCCTTCTGAACAAACCAAACCATCCCCACCCCAAACACACACACATGCACACACATTTACATGCATTTGTTTACCAATGTGTCTGCGTAGTTGACCACACAAATGGGGATTTGTGTGTGTTTTATTTAAGGGAATATATTTATGTTTAATGTGGCCATTAAACGGGTTTCTGCAGGAACTCTCACTCGGATGTATGTGAACACATCTCTCTCTCTCCTATTGCAGTTTTAGGTTGTAAACGTAGTGCCGTCACGCCACTGACAAAGTGTCTGTGTTTTTATGTGAAAACATGCTGGGAGTCTAAATAATGTTTGTCGTGGGATGTAAACAATGTCGTGAAAAGAATAAAAGCACCACTTGATGAAATGGTGGCTGGTTCAAACTGGGCTCATCTCTGCCTCTCACTCAGCAGCGGTTTCTTATGATCGCGCTGCATCATCTTATTTTTAATTTTTGCAACTTTTGAAATAGTATTTTATGTAGATTGAATAAAATGATGTAAAATAATCACTAACAGATAGCAGATGTGCTAAAATGTGCTATTATTGAACAGCAAAGTTGTCGAATTTCCATTTTGTTTTTTTGTGAAGGTGCGGTTCAGCCTCCAGATGTGCATCAGATCTGTCAGACTGACGTATTTGTAACAGATCAGCTTTAACTTAATGAGATACCTGAGGCACACATTAACAGAGGGATTTATAAAGGTATTATTTGTCTCTGTCATTGTGAGTTACAGCTGAGTGTGTTGTCTGTTAGAGCACAGATGTCCATTATGTGTCCTAAAAGAAAACAACATGAACTTAATAACAATTTCCCTGCAGCTAAATGCCGAATGTCAAAGTGATCCAGGTTTAACCATCACATTCCCAAATGTCAGAGTGAGCAAATAACTGGATTAATTACAAATTTGTTTGAGAAAAAAATCAGCAAATTGGGTTTAATTTTGTTTTTACCTGAACTTGTTTACCTAAAATCTGTTTGTTTTGTGCAATTCTTTAGATTCCAATTTCATTTCAGTGTAGTAAGGATAAAAATGTGAAAAATACATAAAATGTATCCTGTTGTAGAGGGACAGCAAAAATCAAAGTATATAAAAAAAACAACCCTTTAAAAAAACAACAGATTTTTGGGGGAATTTGAAGCCTATCAAAATGTCAACAACAGTTGTTTTCACTTAATGTTTGATTCATTGAGGCAGAAGTTTGGGTTTTCAGATGCCATGTGTGAATGAAGCAGACATGTGGTTGCAGCAAAATGGAAAATAATAAAAAACCAAAACCCACTCTGATTAAAACTACTTTCAAGAATGCAGTGAGGGTAGCTTGCTGCTCCGCAGACCAGTCATTATTGACCTGGTTGTGTTTCGCATCTCCTGCTCTCACTCCAGATGTTTACATGAAACCTGGAATTATAATGAGTTTGGAGTTTACCTAAGACAAACAATAATATTAATAAAAAATAGCATTTAAACCAAATCCAAAATTTAAAAGTCGTTGAGAAGCTTAATGAGCGTCGAGCTCAGAAAAGATTAATTAGGCTTTTATGATGAACCTAGGCTTCATCATAAAATGTGTTGCTCATTATTTGGGGCATTGGGTTTTATAAACAACATCCTACAGGGTAATTAGGGGCATCATGAAATTTAGTAGTTTTGTGTTTTTGTGTGTACAAAACACTGGAAGTCTTTAGATAATTTGGGACACCCATAAATATGGATTTTATTTATTGTAAATGTTAATGAATAATGTATTGTTTTGTATACACAACCTGTGTTTATGCATTTGACTGCATGAGCCAAAGGAGGGTTTGGATACATTTTTAATCCCTCAGTCACATGACCATGTATGTGAAGACATTTCCTTGATGCAATTCGGTAAAACAGACCTTCCCACACCATTCCATTATCATAATATATAATTGGAAAAATCTCCCTTTTGGTCGGGTTTGTAGTTTGGAGGCTCAATGGGAAGAGCAGCCATTGGTATTTAAAATATTGTTGATTTGATTCCAGTTTCCCCCTCTGTCACATCAATGGGCAAAACACTGAATACTGACAGTACGGATAAGAGTCTGAGACTCCCGCTGTGTAAATGTGACTTTCTGTTTTTGCAGCTGTGAAGCTCTAAATGAGTTTGATATATTTACATTTTTTGTCATAATTTTGATTGATTCATTTCTGAAATCAAAGGAAGTTCTGTGTGACTTAAACTATATAAACTAAATGCGTCTGAAAATGATAAAGAACTTTGATCAGAAAAAGAGAGATAGATTCAGTTGTGTACAACTCATAAACATAATTTTAATCAGTGAGATCTTAAAGTTTATCAGTACATAGTGACAAAACAGACTCATATTTTATTCAGTTAGCCAAGATAAGTTAGCACTTTCTCAACCTGTACTGAATCATACCTGAAAGGGTTAGTTCTGATATTGCAGGGAGATTTTAAATGACTGTGGTCTAAAGCTCAGCCACACATATTCATACACCAACATACAAACTGCTAGGGGACTTGGGGCTAATTGTCTTGCACATAAGCGTCATCATCATGATACGGGAGTGAAATATGGAGTTCAACCCACAACTTGCCAAAAGCAACACGAGAATTTCTTCACATTGAACACTTGCTCTGAGATGATGGAAGCTAACAGCTAATCAGATATGCAATAACTAACAGTGTGCAATTTGTTCTGTTTGGTTCCAGTTTGTTCAGCTTAACTGCATCTGTTTCCATGTGAGTTAGCTGACTCCTGCTGCATCAGTCCACCAGACTTCCTCAGTTTTATACAGTTCAGGGAAGAACTGATTTTGGGATTTTGCCTCATTATTTTTTGCACCAAAGGATTGTGTGCAATCCTTTGGTGCACAAAGGATTGCACACTTTGCAATCCTTTGCAAAGTGTGCAATCCTTTGCAAAGGATTGCACACTTTGCAAAGTGTGTCTCTGTGCTTTCTAGGTTTGGAAATTGTCCTTTTCAACTCACGTTTAGCTGATATGCCAAATCCGCCGATGAGGCAGAATGCTGCTGGTCATGCATCTCTTCAAGACCTTGGAGAGTTACGTCTGATCAAACTGAGGTTATTTGTTGTTTCAGCTTTTTGCTGTTTTCCGCACATGTGGGATCATTAATAAATCTTTTTGTGGATGCTGGAGCAAATCAGTCAAAGCAATCAGCTTCATATAAACAAAGGTGCAGTAAATGTTTACCAAAAACTTAAAGGCGCGTTTCGTATTCTTTCTTGTTTTTATTGCTGCAGTTGAAGGGTTTTATTCAATTAACTGTACATGCAATAAAATGCTGCAGGTATAGTTTATGAAACAAATACATTTTTTAAAATTTCTTATTATTATCCACTCTGACAAAACCCATAAATCTGTGGCTTTAACACCTACATTGTCTAAGATGCTCAGTAGTCACAGATTTATTTAGACTGAAATCTCCAAACAAGTAAACTTCCCATTGTTAAAGTATTAGCTAGCTGGGACACACTTATGTAATCACACAAATTTCATCTCTCTTGTTCCCCACTGAGCTCCAGTATCTGAAACAGACATCAGCTGGCTGCTATGATAATTATTTATCTAGCATCCTGGTAAGTATGTTAATGGCTCAAAATCAACAACAAACATTCTCACACACGCGCGCGCGCACACACACACACACACACACACACACACACACACACACACACACACACACACACACACACACACACACACACACATTTAAATAAAACACACTCACACAGCCTGTTGTCAGAACAGGCTGTGTTTAGCTATCAAATGAATTAGAGCTTTAGAAGGATGTTTTAAATGAATCACTTCTGATACAGTTCATTTCTCATGGTTCTTTTATTACTAGAACCATGTTATGTGAAGTAGTTATGTGAACCCCAGTCACCTTTCACCTCATCCTGACCCTCTGTGTGACCCCCTTACCATGTTGCATATTAATCAATCAATAAGCATGTTTATTAGATTGGCTTAAATGGATTAAAAATCAGAATATGAATATTCTGATCTGATTCAGCTTGATCCGAATGAAACCAATCAGAACGAGACGGGTGGTTTGTGTAGCTTGATAATCCTGGGGAGTGCAATGGACAGCAAAACTGTCAATGTGATTTATTTCCGTTACAGATCTGGTTTATTGGCCATAAAAGTTTGATCGGATGAATTCATTTTGTCCCCGATTAAATGTTACAATTTGATTTTTTTTTTCTTTTTTTTTCTTTTTCAGTTTATTTGTGTAGTATATTTCAGCAACAAGGCACTTCAAAGTGCTTTATGCCATAAAAACATAATACAGTAACAAATTATGAAACAAGCAGCAAATATTGTATTTTGTCAAATGCCTTCTTCAAAACTGTCTAGCAGATATACATCAAATATGTTGATGAATATTTCAGTTATGATTAATCAAAGGTAACTCTAAACAGGTGGGGTTTTAACAGTGGACTAAAGGAACTCAGTGTTTCAGCTGTTTTGCAGTTTTCTGTTTTGCAGCATAGAAGCTGAATGCTGCTTCTCCATGTTTGGTTCTGGTTCCGGGGACGCAGAGCAGAACCAGAACCAGAAGACCTGAGTGGTTCTGAAGGTTGAGCTCCTATATCTTGCTGAAAAGTTTCTTGCAAGTAACAATAAGTTTTGTCTTATTTCTAGTGTTTGAGGACATTTCCACACAAAAAATTATTGGGAAGATTTTGTATTTTTTTGAAGTGTGTCATGCTAGAAGTTAACTGTCTAGGCAAGTTAAGAGCTGAAAAAGACAATTTAACAACAGATGGGGAAATATATATATATATATTTTTTTTCTTTCTTCAGAACTCATATATATTGAAATCTACAGAACAGTTAATGCAGAACACCAAGCCCTCCTCCGGTCTACCTGCTGGTCTGCAGTGGACGAGCAAACATGATAGATGACTAAGGCCTGAGCAGAGTTTTTTCCCTGTGATCCGACCAAACCATCTGGTAGCCATTAGCTCATGGAGACCCCTCCCTTTAGCTCTCCTCTGCTCACGGTACCTTCCTCCACCGCCTTGACTCATTTTCTCCACCAGGGGGCCCCTTTTTTACCCATAACCCGTTTCATCGCTTAGATTTAAAAATTACATAACTGACCAGTGCATCTGTAAACATGTAAATAATATTATACTCCCAACACTTCTATGGTTATGATGGTGTTGATTAAAGAAATTAAAATCTTAGAAATTACTGTGTATTCAGGAAATGAATGACATTCAGAAAGAATAAAATATCTGGGATGCTTTTGGAACAAACCTCCAGTTTTGTCTCTTCAACCACTAACTGTATCACCATGACATTATTTAATTTATAGAAGAAGAAGAATGACTGACATAACAGTCATAAGGAAATCTATGAGCTGCAACATCAGTTCTTTAATAAAAGCTCCTGTATAAAAGCAGTAATTTTAGCAGTTTATTGGTATGAAGAACTCAAATAAGTGTTAACAGCAATGCCAAGAGGGAAAACATCTGCAAACATCACACAGATGTAAATGTTGCTTCCTGTCAATGAGGCAAAGTGGAGGTAAGGAAAGCAGTTAAGTTGGAAACATTAAACACAATCTTATTGTGAAAGGAAAAGCCAAACACATTCAAGCCTAGGTCTGACCGGGAAATGAAACTGAAGAATAAAAGTCAAACATGCTGAATATTAAGGTTTTTACAAGTTTAGTTAGGAAAAAAGAGAAAAAGCTTCATATAAAAATATAAGTGTTTG